TGGTATATGTATGTATACATACTATACTATGTATACACACTATAGTAGAAGAGCTTTCAGTTTGATATATACATTGTTATATTTACAATTTCTTGCAGTGGCCAAATGTTTTGTTTTACTTCTTTCTTTTAATTTATCTTAAACCTTTTGTTCTGTATAACTCTAATGTGTATTTTTAACAGCTTTCTGTCAAAACTATTAGTTATTTACATAGGTATCTTAATTTTGAGGGTTAATGAGACAAATAGATTGACAGCCACTGGTCTAAACTATTACACTAACACAGAGTATACCAGACTTTCTCTGAGGGCAGAGTGAAAAGCTTGGTTTCCACTTCAGGGCCAAGAACAATCCTGCCTGCAATAAATATTTATATGACTCCATTTCCCCTAAAATCAAAAACTAGGTGATTTCGTCCCACATGCTGTTGCCAACAGAGATGACTTCTCCTCTGGGTTATAATTTCATATAAATAACAAAGGGCTTCCAGCCCTGTGTCCTAAACCTCTAGACTTGGCCCTGGTTCTGCTAAATGACTCTACAGTTGCTGGAGGTGAGGGAAAGGGTTGATGATTATGGATGTTGGAGGTGGGGATAATGGTGAAAAAGGGGGAAGATAATAATGCTGTAAATGATGATGGAGATGAATAATTGCATGAGCAGAATAAACTTGACAATAACAGACAGTGATGAGGGTGCTAATACAGAGGGAGATGCTCATCATCATGTTGAAGGTGTGTGTGATGAAAGAAAGGACTCTAAGATAGATGATAAAGGAGACAGTGATGGCAATAATTAATAACAGACCTTTCCCACAGATGTTACTATTAACATTAAGGGTGACTCTGTTTAATGCAAGTGTCCCACCAAGCCAGTGTGACAGTGAGCCAGTATGTACAATACCAGGGCCCTAAACCTGATGCAACAAATGGAATTTAGCCATCATTTATTTTATTATTTACACCTGTGCATTTCCTACTGTGGCATAACAAAAAAGGCCATGTCTCATAGCTCCAGGTGTTTATTTGTAGCTGACCAATTAAAACCAACAAAAGCAAACAACGATAAATGGACTTGTACTAATGCAACTCTTTTTTTATGCACTCAAAGACTTGCATAATATTTGCTCATTCACTCCACTGACACACACACACACACACACACTCACACTGGTGGCTGTAAAGCTGTCAAGCAACCATTCACACACCAGTGGTTGATGGAGCAACTTGGAGTTCAGTGTCTTGTCCACTTCACTATGTGAACGGGATCAGCTGGGGATCAAACTGCACAACCTCCTGAGCCATAGCCCACCATTTTTAAGGAGATAACCTCATCCTGATGATATCTGAGAAATAATCAGGATTGAAATATACATAGGTGTTCACTGTGAATGGCGTATTGCATATGCACCTGTAATGG